AAAAAAAAAAAAGGAGTCCAGGGACCCAGCAGCAGTCAATCAAGAAGCCAGGAGAGGGCCATGGGCGGAAAATGACACAGCCTTACCCTAACCCTTCGACCCTCCAGCATGAGGACCATTTGAGGGATCAGATCCAGCCATGCTGCACACGAAGCCTTTATTGACAGGGCACAAGTATCTGTCCATGCAGCAGCCCATGGATCCTTCAACGCAGGATTCTCGTATCCAGAGTCCTCACACACAGTCTGTGCACATAGTATCCTCATCCTCATGCACAGAGGCCATCTCTCCATGATACCTCAGTCCTGGGCACTGGCTCTCAGGGCAGCCCTGCCCTTGCCTGTCATCTCCTTGGGCAAAGGCACCAGGCCTGGGCACGGCACCTGGCCTTCCACCTCACACATACACTCCCGCAGGCAGTACCTCCGGGGGCCAAAGTTGGCCGGGTGGGACAGCCGCTGCTTCTCCAGCTCCTCCCTCTGCAGCGTCTCCCTGCAGGGGAAGATAGCAAGGTATGATGGGGGCAGAGATGGGGACGGGGGATCAGGCACAGGGGTTAGAAATGCCCCATGGGTCCTTCCTGTGTCTTCACGCATGGAAAGGAAATGAATGTGACAGGTGGCCTCTAGAGGCCCAGGGAGCAGTGACGGCTCGGGACACACCCCTCCCTTCCTCCTGCTCCCCAGGCCACACCAGAACTCACTCGCTCTTCCCTAGGATCCTGCGGATGTGCTCCACAATCTCCCCATTGCCCTTGGTCTCCATGTCCACCAGGACCTGCTCCCCAGAATCTGCAATGAGGTGAAAGTGAACATAAGGAAGACAATATGGGCCCAGCCTGAGCACACGCATGACAAAGAGGACAGAGCCAGGTGCAGACAAAGCTGGCACAGGTGGGGGAAGCTGGTTCTCAGCCAAGTTACTGAGCTAACTTGTGAAGTCGGGTTGTTCAGCAACCAGATGTCCACATGCAAACCGATAATTCAGGCCAAAACAGGTAAAAACTTTAAACCTAAGAGCTGAACTTTACCCACCTTATAGAAGAGAGGAAAGTTAAGGAAGAGAGGAGGGCACGAGAGTTCTACAAATGTCCTGCAGTGTGTGCCACCCTGGCCAGGTGGGGCCCCATATCACCAGCTCCACATCTCCAGAACTGTGAGGAACCAACTTGCTTCCTTCCCAGTCACTCAGACTGAGCACCATGCAGAGGTCCCACAGAGCTCACAGGTGCCCTGGGAGCCTACGCCCTCCCATACCACTTCCACCTACACCTAGCTACATCATCCCCACATGTTGCCTGGGCCCCTCAGGGCTGCCCTGCCATCTGCAGCTCCTTCCTTGGTTAGGGCTTGTGCTGTCCCTGTGCCCTCCTCCCTATCCCTTGCCCTGTGAGACCTCTTCTCTAGCCAAGCTCACTCTGTCTTGGCATAAACCTAAGGTCCTGGGCTCATCAACAGCTGGCTAGACTTTGGTAGTCCTCAAATGGAATACTACTCAGCAATAAACATGGGTAAACTGAAGCCAAGCACACTAGCTGCTGTCTATGGTCCCAGCTACATGGGAGGCTGAGGTGGGGGGATTGCTGGAGCCCTGGAGTTCAGAGCCAGCCTAGGCAACGCAATGAGACTGGCTCAAAAAGCAAACAAATGAGTCCCCAGGATGAATATAATCACTGTGTTCGGTGAACATGTACTAATAAAGAAATGAAAGCAAATGGATCCACTGCTCTCTGTGTGGCCTGCTGATAGAATTTGCTCAGAATGCACAAGGCCCTGGATTCAATCCCCAGCACCAGCAAATACAAAACAAGGTACTGAAAACTTCACACAGGTGGATCTCAAAACCACAAAGAGGAAAAGAAGCCTCTTCAAGAAACAACCTAGCAAGACCCTTCCCCTCCCCAAAGGGCTGTGCCCCCAGGGTCACACCAATGGAAATGATACCAGCCAGCTAAAGGCCCAGGGAAGGGGCTGGGAGGAAGGAGCTTCCCCAGGCTCATCTTCCACCTACAGTGTTCACAGACATCCCCAGGTGATGGTGCCTAGGTGATGGTGCCCAGGAGTAGCAGCCACACAGCCCAACACTCACCCAGGTAAAAGCGCAGGAAGGGAGACGGGGTCATGTTCTTGAACATCATGATCTGCACCCAGGGGTTCTTGTACTGGATCTGGGGGATGTTGAAAAACACGAACTTCCTGCCAACACAAGGACAGGAACCTGTGAGACTCTCAAGGGACCCCAACCCCAAAAGCTGGAAGAACAAACATAAACATGGAGGCAGGAGGGACACTGGCACCAGAGTGAGGAAACTCAAAAGGGCAAAATAGGAAGGGAAAATGAAACTGGAGAGGCGACCACATCAATCACCGGTGAGCACCACCATGAAAATAACTCAAGAGTTTTACAATCCAGAAAACCCTTAAACCCACACCCAGGAGAAAACAGTGGCTCCATAAGATCTCTGCATGGCAAAGGTTAGCAAAAACAAATTCAACATCTGCCAAACCCAAAGTGTTTGCAAAACAAAGAGCTAATTCTCATGACACAGAGTCACACATGTCACTAGCAAAGCACGGCTGTGGCCACCACTATCCAGCATCAGAGCCACAGGACAGAAACCAGAGCACGGCTGGATCCACCTGGGGCAAACACAAAGCAAGGACCTCAGACATTCATGCTGAAGTGTGGGATGAAAGGGAAGAGCAGGTGCCCTGCTGGACACTGGAGCACCGTGCTCTCCATTCAACAAGGAACCAGGAGATAAGGGAACTGCCCCAGGTCATAACTGTGACCACCTGGCTTCTGCCACACTGACCTGTTACCATCGAATTCCCAAATCCACCTACATCCTAAGGCTGTGCCGAGGCAGTGCCTGCACAGAAGGGGACAGAGCCCTCTGCCAGGGCAGCTCCTGGCCACCCAGAAGTTCCAGGCCACAGAACTATCCCAGGATTTGGAATGCACGAAAATCCCCATTGGGGCAGCAGAACTGTGCCAGGCACAAGAAAGGGAGGGGCTGGCAGGCTAGACAGCTGAGGCAGTAGGCCGGCCCAACCCAAGGGAACAAGTGGAATATGCACATATATCATCATCAGGAGCAAGAATACCAACGAGACCCTTGGGATCCTACCTACGATCCGACCTACCTGGAGGCATTAGAACACTCGAGAATGTAAGGATGGGGTCTATTGTGATTGGCCTTTTAAAAACCAGAAACATGTAAATCCAACTTTCAGTTTTGACAAGCCCACAGTGCCAGGCAGACAGGGCGCAGCTGTCGTGCGCAGGCCAGGCAGTACCCACCTTTCCAGCCCCAGGACTGGCGCGCACAAACGTACAGGGGTCAGGAAGGTGAGTCCCACCCAGAACCAAGCCTCCAGGGAAGCGCAGCCTCCCGGGACCTAATTCCTAAATCACCCCTCCGGCAAGAGCGGCTCTTCCTCCTTCCACAGCCGCTCACAAACCCAACCCAGAGGTTTCGGCTGGGTCCAACCGCAGCCTCCGCTCCGCCCCGCCCCGCCCCGCCAAACTTTAGGGCACAGGTCCCGGGCGGGAGGCGACGTCTGGATTCCGAGCTTGGCGCAAAGGAAGAGGCGGCACCTGGCGGGCCCGGGAGGAAACAGGATTGGTTCAGTCCGGCGACAGTGCTCGCTCGCGGGGCCCCAATTACCTGGCGCCCTCGCTCAGCTCCCCGTACGTGTTGTAGTTCACAGTCATGACCTTCACCGAGTCCTTGAACACCACATTGCCCTGGCCCAGGTACTGCAGCGTGCGGCGGATAGGGAAGCGACCCTTCATGGGCATACTGGCGGCCGATCGAAGGAGTAGGCACGCCGCGGGGCATCACGGGAGCCGCTCCCGACGGGCCGCGCGCGCCGGGAGGCAGCCTGGGACTTGTAGTCCACCGCGCATGATCGACGTGCACGCGCGTCGGGGGAAGAGCGCACCTGACCTTTTAAATTCTGAGAGTCTGTGCTGGGACAGCTGACAGCTGGCTCTCAGCCCCAGATAAATCCAGCTTTCTCTCAACATCTACAGTTTTGAAATTGAAAGTTTGAACCTACAATTTCTAACATTCAAAAACAAACTGGGCCGGGGATTTAGCTCAGTGGTGCCGCAGCCTGCCTCGCAAACTCAAGGTCCCGAGTTCGATCCCGGTACCCCCCCCAAAAAAAACAAACATTTGCCAAAAGAGAAAACAAAATGCCTTGGGGTCCATCCCTTCCGAAGGGCTCTGCTCACTCTTCGCTTTCTTAATCGTTAGCTATAGGGGTTAGCGGGACACTCTTCCTTCGGAGGTAGGTGAGCAATGACCTCAAGGCAGGAGAGAATGTTCTTGAAAGACCCGGTTGATTGTAGAAACGCAACCTGAGACCTCGGCCCTCTCAGGGCTTGTTCGCAGCTATTCATATTCATTCACTCTCCCTCTCCCTCCCTGAAAAGCTATCAATTTGCAATAAACTCTACTACCCTCCATGTGATGACTGCCTTGTCTGAAACCGTTTGTCACACAAATGAGGAATGCTGCTGTGGTGCTGCTTGTCGCAGTGTCAGGACCCTGACTTGGATGCTGATTCACCCAGTTTGCATGTGCTACAGTGGCCCATCAGTTTAAAAGTATTCAAAATATTTGAGCCTTGGGGCTTCAGGGATGTCCTCACAGGCAAGGTGACATCACAGATTATTGGTAGACCTTGTTTTCCCCCAGGTTTCCTTGGCATTCTGTACATTTCTGCTGCCTCTCCTGCTGCTTTTGATCATAAGACGGCACACTGTCAACAGCTCTGCTGCCTTTTCCTTGATGTGCATTCTGTTCTGAATGTTTTTAATATATACAATATTGTTTCCTGTGCCAACAGATCCTAAGACAGCTATACTCTTAGCATATGTCAGATGGCATACATGAGTCCGTATGTTGAAAAGCGAGTGCCAGTCATCTTCCATGCACATATCGACAAAATACAAGGTAGGGGCACCCTAGTGATTTAATCAAAGAACAACACAGGGGCCAGCAGAGTCTGCCAACCTCCCAGATCTGGGACTCAGATGAGATGTGTTACACCTGATCTTGTCTGTAGAGGGGCAAAGAGGGACAACTTTTTGCACCTCCTACCACTTCATTTTTTTCTTGGAAGGGGGTTGCCCATTCTCAGACACCCACAGGTGTGCCCTATTGAGCCATCTCAGATGCATCCTATGATGGCACTTCACTTAGACCTCTCATAACAAAACAGGAATGTGACTGGAGGGCTCATGTGTGAGCTGTGTATATGTGGTATTCCTGACTCCTGTCCACAGTGGAAGTCTGATTCCATGCAATGATGCTCCTAAGTAAAATGGGACCCCTTGTTTAGATGTCCATCCATCTCTTGAGTCACTTCCTAGCCAGGGGATAATGCTGATGCTCAGAATCAAACAGATGGATGGGTTCCCCCTACTCAGGTCCCCAGCAATGGCTATGGCCCCAGTGGTACGCATGTGCCCATTTCAGGAGCTGCTTCAGTTAGAGCCAGACAACCTCTCTATGCCAGACCTATGCAGAATTGGGCAATTTTCAGATGATTCTAAAAACAATAGAAGTTTTCTGACACCTTGTCAATAGTTACAAACTCTTAGGACTGACTCAGAGTCAGAAAGCTCCCAAGTGACTACAAGGGCCAGGCATTATACTGACAGCACACCTACTCTCCATCACAGGTACCTTGTAGGGCCTGGAGCTGTCCCAGGCTGAGCCGAGCTGCACAGTGAGACCCTGTCTCCAACCCAGCCCCCAAAATCAAACCTGTAAATCACTCTAAATTGGCTACTATTGATCAGGGCCCAAATGAAAACCTGACATTTCTTAAATGATTCAAGGAGGCTCTGCAAAAGCACATCATGAACTTTATGAGGCACAGGCCTCCTTAAAAATAGTTTTCTTACCCAGTCAGCTCCTGATATTGAGAAATTATAAAAGATGTCATCTTAGGGACCTAAACTCTCATTGATGACCTACTAAACACTAGTTGTTTTGTTGTTGTTGTTATTTTGTTCAGTTTTGAGACAGGGTGTATGTGGTCCAGCCTAGCCCTGAACTCTTAGCAGTCTTCCTGCCTCAGCCTCCCAAATGCTAGGATTACAGGTGTGCACCACCATACCTGTTTTAGCTAATCTTTTTTATAATTGGGATATAGAGAAGAAAAAGAAGGGGAAAGGAAGCTAAGATTAAATTAGAAGGTTGGGGATGTGGCTCAGTGACAGAGGCAATGAGGATACTTAGCATACATGAGGCCCTGAGTTCAATCTCCAGCACCACTAAAAAAAAAAATTAAATGAGAACAAGAAGACACAAAACATATAGAACTTCTTGCTGCATTACAGGTCACCAGATGTTACCTAGGCTCCTGGCCCCTCCTCCAAGGAAAACAAGCTACTTGACAGTGTCACTTCTGCTGACATCCTCTGAAGTCATCTTGCCCAAAACAGGACAAAACAGGGTACTACAGGGCTTACTCTCCCAGGATGGAAGGACTCGGCCCAGTGCCCAGATGTTGTCCCTGGAATGAAGAAGCAAAGGCTGCAGTCACCCCTGGTTCTTCACCATCAGCAGACAGAACCTTGGGTGACACTGGATGTCACAGGTAAGACCACAGCTTCCTGCTCAGCAGTGGGTCTCGTATTCTGTTCTTATCTCCCATTATCTCATTGTTCCTATCTCTCCAAACATTTGTTGGGTTACGGCATCAATGGGACTCTGATGCCCAATGCTTTACTCCTCTTTGTCATTTATGAAATAATTTCCTCCCTACCTATGCTTTCTTGTTGATGCCTGAACATCCAGTCCCTCTGCTTGGCTGAGACTTATTCACAAATTATGTTTCGCTCATCTAGCAACCCCACAATTGTGGCAGGGGTTGCCTCTCCCAGCAATGCTGATAACGACTCTCTTTACTGACCTTTCTGTTAAACTCCAGGTACGGGCACCCAGTAAGAGAGTAGCCTAAAAGATCTTCACACCTTCCCACACTGCAGAGAGTATTTCCTTTGGCTGCTAGAACCCCAAACTGGGCTACAACTTCTGCTAAACAAGCTCTTACAACAGGAACACTGAGAGCTTTGTCAAGTCACCTTGTGATGCCTGTTCTGTGGGATCACTGTGTGTACACAAGGCAGTTGTTCCTAAACAGCCCACGGCCCCAACTCAACACTGCTGGGCCAGGTCAGGCTTTTTTTCAACACCCGATGGTTTACAGGCCAGGACCCAAGAGATGTGTGGCCTCTGAGTTCTAATTCCTTTTTAGGTTTGTTTTTTGTTTTTTTGAGACAGGGTCTTACTATGTAGTTCAGGCTGTCCCTAAACTCACTATATATACCCCAGGCTGGCCTCAAACTCATTCAGCTTCCTGAGTGCTGGGATCACAGATGGGCTTTCCAATTCCTCGTTGCCTTGACTGTCCTTCCAAGGACAACTCAACTGCTCTCCTCAAAAGCCCACTATTTAGGGTTTTAACTGCAGGGCATCAAGCACGAATAGCTCAGCAAACACAACACATCCAAGCTTTCTGGCCTGTGACTCCACAGAGCAGCTCCAAGCTTTCCAAGGCTTATCTGGCTGTGCCAGCTGTTGCTGCCCCCCCCCCCAGGAATGGCCTATTGGCTAAACCCTCATATGAGTCCCTAGAAGAAACAATGATTAAATGCCCCTTTCTGGGAACAGAGACAGTAGTAAGAGGCTTATGATATAAACCAGAAGCCTCTCTCCTCAAGCTCTGCCTTGGGATGGCCACAACCTGACACACCTTTTAGTCACACAGAAGTGAGCACCAAGCATGGCTTCAGGGTCCTTACCCAGACCCCAGAGCCTTTGAAGGCCTGGAGGACATCAGTCATAGCAGTGGGACACCACTGTGTTCAGGGTGACCTGGATGTGTCAGGGCAATGGCCACTTCTGCTCTTTTAGCAGTGGAATCTTTACAGCTACATCAGGATCTCCTGGCTTTTCACACTGCTCATCAAGCAACTTGTCAGACCTGAAGGGATTTCACTGGCTTAAAGACTATCATCTTGGATACTGTAGAGCTTTTATTACCCGATAATCCTGAGGTGTCTCTCCACAAGTGCTCCCCACGTTAATCCTGCTACTTTACTTCCTACTTGTCTTAGTCACTTTCTCTCTCAAAAATCCTATAGCCCAATGCCCACAATTTAAAAAGCTGGGACCCACTGCAAGGACTGTCAGTGAGAAACCCAGGGGGAGGCGCTCAAGGCCAAGGTGAGGACACAGTTAAGTGAGTACTCTACTATGCCCATCCCGCCTTCCAGCAGGGGCTACATGCACCTTGGTGATGGTTGTCCTTCCCTTCACGGGACCTTTCCAACCGTCACCTTCTGCTCCTCATGCTTCTGGGGACACAGGCTCACTGGTGATGCCTAAGGAAGTGATGGAGGCCACCGAGTGAGCTACAAATCCATAAATTGGCTTTCTGTGTTAAGCATGATTCTGTCCTACGCCTAAGTGCCATATAAGCCAGCAGTAGGCATGTGGAAACAGAACTCCCTATGCCACCGGCCAGTGAGTCTCACTGACCTGTGATTCTGTGGCAGCTCAGAAGGCAAGACTCTCTCACTCTCACACAAAATTCTATAGAAGTTTCCCATTAATCAATGGCATATTCACACAAGAACACTTTCTTACTAGACCTTGCTGGAGTCGGTGCCATCCACTCCGCTGTTCCTTGCATCTCCCTATACACCCCCTGGAAAGCTGTGCGCTCAATAAAAAAATGACAAGTTCAGTGAGTCATGGTCTTGGCCTAATAAGACCTCTGACCTCTGGACCCCCTTGCATTCTCAATTACTGTCTCTATTTATCCTTCGTCATAGCCTTGCCCAGGTGAGTAGGGCCCTGATCAGCTCCTGATAGAGGAGGCTTCAGTTACTAGTCCCTGCAATGTTTTTTCTTTTACTTTGGATGGACTTGGATCTCCAGATCAATTTGATTTTTAAAAAAGGTTCACCATCATTAAAATTGTTATTAGACCATATTATCACACCATCTCCTACATTTTTCTTCCAATTTACAGTCTATCTGCTTCTCAATGACCCTGTAACCTCTTGGTCCAGCTGTAGAGAAGTTAGTTCATTAGGTTAGGAACAGGCAGCTGAAGAAGTGGGTCAGGGTGCTTGGGCAGGCAATGAGCTAGGACTAGGACTCTAACCAGGGAGAGCTTTGGGTGACATGGACTGCAGACCCTCCCTAGTCCTTTCTTGAGTTTGGGGGAACTTAGAAATGAATAACCAGTTGCTGTTGTTTGCAGTGTTTCCTTTCAACTCTATAAGCTGATTAGCTGGTTGAGGGCCTCAGCTCTGATTGGTCGTGTTAAACCCACACAACTGCCTGATAGGTGGTCACTAAGCAACCGAGCAATTCCCACGTTCTACTTGTCCATAAGTAGTTCTGGACCAAGGGGCACATGGCCCACCATAGGAGCTATGTTTTGTATTTCCAATAAACACCCTAACTTCCTTTTTGTGCATAATTTCATCCTTCAACTTTGTGAGGTAGTGACCTTGGGTTTATGCCATCTATGTGGTTAGCTGTTTCCCAGCTACACAAGTAGAGCCCTTATACCACCTTCCAGGCCTGAAAGTCAACTACAGCAGGAACCCTCATTCGCTCCCAAGGACAGGGTCTCTGCTATATAGTCCAGATTGACCTCAAATACTCTGTAGCCCAGGCTGATGTTGAGCTGACATCATCCTGCCTCAGCCTCCTGATGGCTAGGATCACAACTGCTTCTGAACTTCCTGTCCGCTAATTTTAGCACCTCAGTATGGTTCTGCTGTTTGGTTTTTTTTTTTTTTTTCTAGAATGCTTGTAGTCATGATTGCCTTCCTCATGGGGAGCTGGTATGTGTACTGCTGTTGGTCTTTTTGGTTTTCTTTTTCAGTATTTGCCATTTCAGGATGCTTGTAACCCCCTACAGCACTCCCCTCCCTGTACTGGGATTGAACCCAGGACCTGTACACTGAGCTACCCCCTGGCCCTGTTTTATTCTAAAACAGACTCATGCTAAGTGGCTAAATTCTCCGAGTTGGGCTTGAGCTTGCAATCCTGTCTTGGCTTCCCAGCATTGTGATTACAGGCGTGCTGGTAGTCTTTTGCAAAAGTGGGAACACTGGCTGTGTTGGGTAACAGGGCTAAAGTAAATGTGCCTCAAGGTTGAGGATCTACTAACCTGACCAGGAGCTGATCTGTGCTTAGCATCTGCCCTGGGTCCTCCTCTGCCTGTATAGTTTTCAGCTGTAATCTGCTGACTCTCACTATCCCAGAGCCCTTCTGGGCAGTGCAGGGGCATGGGGAGGGAAGGCCCCATCACTCACAGTGACATTCGGCACTTTCTGGGCCTGTATTCCTAGGCTATGGCCATCACAGTGTTTAACTCCCGCTGCCCCGAGCCAGGAAGGCTGGCCAGGGGTGCCCCAACCCAGGCAGGACAAGGCCCTGGGTACAGCCATTAGGGAGAGTGCTCCAGGACAAAGATGCTGCTGCTGCTTCAGTTCCTGACACCCCTACTATCCACATGCAGCCCCACCAGTTTGGCCGAGCTCCCCACACTCAGGAGGGCAGAGTCCTGCTCACATTGCCCTCTGGGAGTCTAAGAAAAGTCGCTGACGCTTAGCTTATCCAACTTTTGCTTGGAAAAAGTGACAACTTCCAAATTCTAGGTGTCACACTAAAAAAATGGGAAGTGCTCTCCAAAATATTCTGAAAATGATGCCCAGCTACGTAAGAGTTGCAAGCAGAAGAGCCTGTGGTCCTGGTGGGTGGGCAGTGTACAACAGCTACTTGGGGGGCTGAGGCAGGAGGATCCTAAATTTGAGGCCAGCCTGGCAACACAGCTTCCTAAAGAAAAGGAGAAAGAAGTTTTTGGTCTATTTTTTGAAACAGGATTTCGCTATGTATTCCAGGCTGACCTTGAAACCAGAGTCCAGGCTACACTCAACTCACAGTGATCCTCCTGCTACAGGCTCCCAAGTGCTGGGACTATAGCCCTGCATCACCACGTCCAGCAAAGCTCTTGGTCTCGAAGCCTGCAGGAGGCATTCACAACGGATGAAGTACTGCACTCTGCTAGAATCTGGGGTCCCCACACAGCTGGTGGGGGCAACAGGGGCCTGAGGGAAGCCCCCAGGTAGGGGGAACTCATTACTCAGCCTGCACCTGTCCCCCAGCTGGAGGAGAGGAACGGAGGTCACCCACGAAGCGTGCTTGTCTGTTCCCCATCTGGAACCCACGAAGGCCCTGTTGAGGCCCCAGTTAACTGTCAGACCTGCTGGCTGTGCCCACATCTCTCAGTGCCCATCTGTGCAGTCTACACCCCCCAACCTACCCTGCACCGCAGCAGGCTCAGACCTGTGTTTCGGAGTACAGGAGGACTTAGCAGTTGTGACCTAAACCTGCTACCTCCTAACCTGTCCCTTCACCTATGCCAGCAGTGCCCAGCAGCAGTGCCTTTTTCTCCTGGTATGAAAGAGAACTGGACAGGGCTTTGCTCTGTGCTTGGCTATGAATTGCCCCTCACCAACACGATGGGGACATGGGGCAGTGCTGCAAGGGGTCACTCCTGTGCAGACTCTATAGACCTTCCCAGACCTGTGGACCAGGATCTGGGACTGTTTTGAGGCACTGGGCTGTCACCAAGAAGGGGAGGGATGCATGGTAACTCACCCAAGGTGCACATGCACATATGCACCCATCACTCCCGGCTATTTTTTATTTTTTAAAAATGGTTCCAACACAAGGCCCAGAGCAGCATGTGAACAGCACTGTCAGGTGACCAATGGGTTAAGTCCAGTGCCTGACCTATCATGTGGCTCCTGATGATAGCAAGGACACTGTGGCATCTGAACAGCAGACACTGGGCTGCAAGTGGGCATGAGTGTCCTTAGTGAATTAGACAGAGAGACACAAACCTGCACACAGACGTGTTCACCATGCACAACCTTGGCTACCAGTGGCTCTGCCGGCACCGTAATCGTGGCTGAGGAAGGGCAAGGCGTCCACAACAGGTGGAGCATGCAGCTGTCTCTTCTCTCCTGTTGCCTGTCCTACACGAACTCCAGGGAGAGACTGGAAGATAGCCACAAGACAATTCCACAAAACCTGAGGAATCTGACTTTAGTTTGGTTTAGTGTGTTCAGGGAGTTCATTTCTTCAGAGTTTTTAAAAATGTTCCATGTGCATCTCTGATGCTCAGTTCCTTACAGGTTGCTACCCGGTGCTGGTTTCAGGGAGTGGCAGGGGTAAGTTCGTCTCCACTGAAACTCCACTGATAAGAGCGGTGAGCTCTCCTGTGCAAAGTGCTGATGGTGGCAAGCTGCAGTTAGCTTTTTCCGGTGTGGAAAGCAACCGGCTCCTCTGAGAGAAAGACAGACTAAGTGGAGGGAGAGCAGCTAGTTGGACACCTGAGCCCTACAGCTCAGCAGGCCTGGGTCCTGGGGAAGGAAAGAGACCCACAGCAGGTGACATCTTGGATGCCCAACACTGCGCACACCACAGAGTAGAGCCGTATCCTTCATGAACACAACCCAGTTGCCAAGATCCTCCATGCTCCACTCCTCCCCCACCCAGGATTTGTCCCCATTCGGCCAAGAGACCCTGTGAGACCTTTCCCCCAGAGCTCCGCCACTCCGCTAGCTAGGCAAGCAGATGAATGCCACTCTAACTGGTAGGAGCATGGCCTCGAGGGAGGGAAGAGTGTAAAGTGATGAGTGAAGTTATTGTTTATTACCAGGCTCACTGCAGAACTGCCCAGAGCCATGAGGGCACCAGTCAGTCCTGGGTCTGGCTCCTGTGCACCAGAGCACCAGAGCAAAAGAGGCAGCTGCCCTCTCCGCCCTAACTGAAGACACATGGGCCACAGGCTCACTGCAAGGTGCTGACGGCCTCTCCAATCAGTTTGGTTCCTTAAAACTAAAACTGGTAAGGAAACCACTCACCAGTGCCCCAGCCAGGATGGTCCAAGGGGAAGGGTGCTGGCCAGAATGCACCAGACTCTCAGCCTCAGAGAAGGCCCTTCCCTCCTGGTGATGCTCTGAAGAGGCCTCTGCTCACTAGCTCCAGAGCTACATACTGGGCCCTTTTGATGCTTGGTTGGGGGGGGGCGGTTCCTGCATGCAGGTAGGGACCTCTCCCAGACACACGAACAATGACCAGGACATTAATTGCACCTCTTCCTGCAGGCTCATGGCCAAATCACAATGCACATCATACTGGGAGCCTCACTGTAGCCTGAGTGGGAAGGGAAAGTTGGCAACACACCCACTACCAAGGTGCACCACTGCTCCAGCATTCCCATGGCACTGACCCCAGGACCAACTCCAGGAAAAGCCGGAGGCCCACGGCTCAAAGGGCACAGGCTTCTGCCAGAGCAGGACAACTCAGGAGACCCAGACTGCCTGCCTGTCTGAGGCCATCCTAACACTGCATAGTGGCCGGGACCATTAGGTGTGGGTGGCCATGTCCACCCCAGGTCACAGAACTGAACCAAGTTACAGCTTCATAGTAAAATGAAAAGTCCATGAAAGAGGAAAATCCCCTAACTGAAAAACAAGGCAGGAAGGAAATGCTGCCGAGGAGTGAAGGCTGGTGCTCTAGGGGTTCCTGTGTTAGTCACTGTCATGCAGACACATCTGGCATGGACAGCAGCATCCAGGTTGCAGGTCTTGCTTCCCACCATCACTCAGGGCCCCCCTTCTGCTTGGCCAATGTGCACCTCAGCTCCCGCAGGTTCTCGGTCAGCACCTCCACCTCATCTAGCCGGCCGTATTGCTTGGCATCAAAGATGTAGGCCTTGATGTTGTTTATCTGCTGCAGGAGCAGGTCCTCCTCAATGGGCTCTTCAGCTTCTGGGCCACTGTCGCTGTCCACCTCAAAGGGGTTGGTGCCGGTGGGTGCCTCAAAGGGGTTGCCAGGCACAGGAGGGCTGGCAGGCCTCTGGTCAGGGCCATCATCATCTTCCTCAAAGGGGTTGGGTGCTGGTCTTTTGGGGCTGGTGAAAGGGTTTCCTGTGGCTGCTGCCTCCTCTTCTTCCTCCTCTTCCTCGTCCTCAAAAGGGTTGTACTCTCTGGGGAGCTCAGCCTGCACAGCAGCAGGGCTGGAGAGGAAGTCCCTGCTAAAGGGGTGTAGGGCACAGTCGCTCTGCTGGGGCTCAGTGCTGTGGGGGAGGTTCTCCCGGCCCAGGGCCCATGTTGCACCAGGTGAAGGTGTCTCAGGGGCCATGCCCAAGCCTGGATTGGAGCCCAGCTCCAGAGCGAAGGCAGGGTGTGGGCGCAGCCCCCGGCTGGGCTCCAGCAGGAAGGGTGCGGCCTCCCGGGACTCTAGGGCCCGGGTCCGAGAGTGCAGAGAGGTAGCCTGCTCCTGCTCCCGCTCCCGCTCCCGCTCCCGCTCCTGCAGCCTCTGCAGCTGCTCACGCTGTAAGGCCTCCTCCTCAGCTTGCCTGCGAGACAGCTCAATGGCCTTGGCCGTCTGCTGCTGGTCATACTCGTCCTGCAGCTGCCGCAGGTTCTCTCCCAGGGTGCGCACCTCATCAGTGCGGCCGGCAGCGTGGGCCTGCTTGATGAACGACTCAATGTTGTGGATCTGTTGCAGCAGTGGGTCAGGATCCTCGTGCTGGCCCTGTGTCCCAGGCAGTGGGAGCCAGCCCTCGGCCTTTCTTGTGGGGGCTACTTCCCCATTGGCTGCTGGACCACGCTGCTTATCCTCAAGCCTACATTGTGACTCCAGGGCAGCCTAGGGAGACATCAGAGCAAGGGTCACAGGGTTCCCAGCCAGACAGCACCCCCTGTAGCCCCAGTGGCCTCTACCTCCCCTCCTTTGGACCAAGACACTGGTCTGCTGAAAGAAGGCCAAGCAGGCTGTGATTTTTAAAACTGATCATGACTGAACAGGTCAGGGAGCAGCTATGCCCCAATCATGGGCTGCATACTTGGCGTAAACCTCCATGTCTCTCACCAGTTGACAGTGTTGGTACCCACCTAGGTTGAACAGACTAACTATCCTGGGGAGCTGTCTGCTTTATTTTGGGGATGCCAGAGATTGAACTGGGGCCTCAAGTACTCTACTACTTAACTACACTCACAGCTCTTATTTCTTCCTTTATAGAGACAAGGTCTCATGAAATTGACCAGTTGCCTCAAACTCTTGCTCTTCCTGCCTCAGCTTCTCAAGTGGCTAGGAATGTGGGAATACAGACTAGGAATATAAACACCATTCCTGGGTATCTTTGTACGGGGATTGAACTGAGGGTCTTTGCACAGCTACATCTCCAGCTCCCCCTCTTTTTGACTTGAGACAGGGTCTTGCTAAGTCATTAAGTTCCCTGGGCTGGGCTCGAACTTGTGATCCTCCTGCCTGAGCCTCCCAGAAAAGTTCAGATTACAGAAATGAACCAGCAGGCCTGGCTATTTTCTGTTTAACAGCATAATTTGCAGTGGAGACCCCCCAGTAACCCCCTTCCAGACGGAGCACTGCCAACCTCTGTTGTTCTCACATGAGAAGCAGTGGGACCTCAGGAACAAAACAAGGACCTAGGAGAGAGTTATCTTGGTTTCCATAGGTGGGCATGCACTGCAAAAGAACAGAAGAAAGCAAATATGTGTGGGAGAGAGAGGGAGGAAGGGAGAGAGGGAGAGGGAGAGAGAGACATAAAAGCAAATGCAAGGGACAGAGAAACAGAGACCTCATGCATGCATGAGCAGAGCTCTGGAGACACAGGCAGGCAGGACATCGGGGAGCCAGTGGGCCATGAGGATAGTGGCTGCCTCATGCCAGGCCCTACACACCTGTCTCTCCAGCATCCTCTTCCTCTCCATGTCCTGCTTCCTTTTCTTTTTCAGTTCTTCAAACTGTTCCTTGGTTGGCAGTGACATCAAACCCAGCAACTTTTCCTGTAAGGGTCACGACAGGGTCACACGCTCTGAGGAAAAATGGACCTTAGGCTCCACGTGCTCAAGTTGAGCTACCCCACCCCAGAGAGTGGCAGGGCCGGCCTCTGCTCTGCACCTTATGTTCATCCTACACCTGCCACCCTGCCATGCCTGCTTGCCTATCTCTGGAGGGCTATACAGTCAGTCACAAGCCAGCTCCTCAGTTGGGCATTGCCTACCCTCACTCTAGAATCCAGGCTCCTGAGGACAGTGTGATCCCAGGATCTGGAATCCAGCTTAGTGCCCAGTGGGCCCTCAGCAAATGTGACAAAGGCCCAGGTCTCAGCACCATATGTGGAGACACAGCCTCCACATCCACAATGGACCTCAGCAGGGAGGCCAAAGGCAGTCACCATTGAACTCAGGAGAGTTCAGGGCAGGACGATAACTCCGGGTCCAACTCCAGGCTCCAGGTGCCTTGACCATCAGCCACAGGCCCAGGAAGAGGCTCCACACCCCACACCTCAGCCACAGAGCCCCAGGCCACCTTGCACCCAGCTGCGCGCCAAGGTCGGGGAGAGAGCCCTTCATGTGCAGCAGTGCAGGCACTAATGACACAGAGTTTAGGGGGAAAGGACACAAGCCCTAACTACTGCACATGAAAATGCAAATGCCAAAACACCAGAATGATGAGTGAGCCACAGAGGGACACAAGACTGAAAGTCTTCCCTTCTTGGAAACCCACATTTTTCTCTTTCAAAACATGGCAGTTATGATGCACTGCTTCTCTTGAAGAATAACTAGTGTATAAGGGGAAAACAGGCCATGATATGGACCTGCCTGAGAGGAGAACCAGGGTGCCCAAGCGTACTCCTGCCACCCCAGAGCTTCACCTGCACGAAGAGCGTGGCCGAGTACCGGATCATCCTCTGCAGCCGAAGTGTGTTGGGATGTGGTGGGGGGTCCTGGTTCAAGCCCAAGGTTAAGATCTTCTTACTGGACCAGAACAAACACATCAGAAACAAGATGAGAGGTCTCTGGAGCTGCAGGCTTTTGTGCCAAGATAGGTGGAGATGGGTAACTTCACTGCATCTCCTGGAAGGCAGAGCCTAGCCTACCCTTTGAGGGGACCCACAGCACCTAACATAGTACAAGGTGTGCAACACACTCGGTCATTCATGGACTGACTACACAGGCAGATCTGGCTTCACCAGTGAGCAACCAGTACAACTGCACAGGGCCCAGCACGTCAAGGGACTCATGCTTGGTTTAATGCCCTTCTGTCTTCTTCTTAACTAGGCCTTGCAGATCACACAGCAGGTCCTGGATGTATGGACAATAACAATCCTCATCACAACTGTTCCTAAATCCCTGTACCTCCTACACCTAAGTGCTGACTTAACCCCAACTACCAGGCTACAGTTTGAAAGCGACTGTGAGCTGAGGTGCAGGCACAGCTGTGACTGTACTGGTTCACTCTTCTGCAGCATGGGGGCTGCCCTGTCCTCAGTAACCTCAGGGTCACCAGTGCAGAGTCACAGGGTCACACCTGACCCACAGCCCACAGCCCCAAGCCTGTGAGGAGCTTGTCCCTGGCACCATCCATCCCAACAGACTCACCTTAAGGCATCTATGAGCTCATATACTTTCTGCACCTCCAGGCGGAGGTCACTGGCCTGCTCCAAGCTGTAGGTGGTCTCCCCGGCACTGCGGAGAAAGCAAGCACATACAAGACTGCATCAGGTCAAGCTGATTGTGTGGCATCACAGGACCCTCAAGGCATAAGGCTGCACCAAGATGGTCAGTACTTGGAAAGAGGTATTTCAGGTCTGTATAGAAAAATACAGACCATGTTTACATTTAAAAAAAAATGTATTACAGTAAAAGACACCGTCTTCATTTCGTGTCACTGAGACACAATACACAACTCTAAGGAGGAGAGATCTATTTTGGCTCGTGATTTGTACATATTTCAGTCCATAGTCAGCTGGCTCTAGGGCAAGACAACATGACAAAGGGAAAACAGCTCATGGAAGGGCAGCAGGAAGCAGAGAATGATCAGGAGGAGGAGGGAGACAGATGCTGCCAGGCCATAGCCCCAGTGACCCACCTTCTCCCATCAGGATTCACCTCCCAACATCACATTCAGACATAAACTCACAGTGGACCAATCCACTGAGGAGTATCACATACCCATGATCCAAGCACCTCCTTAAGCCCACTCTATAAGCACATGAGACTTTGGGGGGACATCTAGCTATAAACCATAACAGACATATTGCTATGAATCCCCTCAACATCCTCCCTGTGAATTCCAACACACTTATCCCATCATTCTTGGCCACTTGTGGAAGCAGCTCTGGAGTTCTCTTCCATGAGTGTCTTTAAGCTGTGTTGTCCTGGCTGCCTCAGTGTCCAGCATCCATTCAAAATGTTTCTCTTCCAAGGTCATTCTGACTTTGGGGAAGAAATCATACAAGATCTGGCAAATAAGGTGGATGTTTTTACAAGCCTTCCTTTCTGTTGGATGGCACTTGACAGCAGCATTCACATGAATATTAAATGCATGCCATGTAGTAGTTAAAGGTAACATATGGATACAGAAGCTTCTATAGGGACGAACCCAGAAAGCACTGCACTGTGTGACAAGTCAGGTGCAAAAGGTCACATTCATGATGCCATTTATATAAGATGTCAAAATTGCCATTCCACTGAAACAGGAAGCACATTAGGGGGTGCCAGGGAGCAGAATGACCGCCCACGCTGTGATGTTTCTACCAGAGAAAGGAGAGGGTGTGGAATTAAGACAGTTGTGATGGCTGCACAACTCTGTAACTACAGTAAAAATCACTGCACTGTACACTACAAAAGGGAGGGTTTCACAGTCGGGGGGGGAGAGGAAGAGAGGAAGAAAGGAAAAGAAGAAGGAGAAAGAGAAAGAAAGGGGGAGAGAGGAAGGGAAAGGAAGGGAAAAGAAAAGAAAGGAAAGGAAAAAGGAAAGAAAAGAAAGGCACAAATCAAAGCAAGGCTTCCATCTGCACTACTCAGAGTTGCCCAAATGCTGGGATGCCCTCCTCAGGACACCACAAGGAAGGCTTACTTTAAGGATGCTGCCATCCGCACGTACTCGGGGGCTTTCTGGTCCACTTTCTCCATGCAGAGCCGCAATTTCTGAGAACAGAGCAAAGGTGAGTGCTGCTCCCAGGAGACGTGAGAAAAGCGCTCCTTTTTTCAAAACTGGGGTCTTTTCCTTATGGCTATCAATTTCCTAACTTACATAGCTACTTTCCATGCAGAAACTCTTTCAGGAGGGAAAGAGACTGAGGGTGGAGCTGGGCCAGGCATCCCAAGAGCAGTAAGCCCACTAGGGCCCAGGCAGTGAGTCTGCCGAAAAAGGAGGGCACAGTGATGCCAGGCAACAGCATAACAGGGCACAAGGTGTCACTGCCATCCTCGGAACAGGGGAGCCATCACAGACTCCACAGAGGATGGAAGACGGCTACCCTCAGTCCTGGGTCTGATTAGCACCACACTAGGTCAATGTGCAGCTGCATGTGGTTCTAGAAACAGCTGTGGGGTGACCCAAGCACACTGCTCCTCTGCCTGACCATAGCTGGCTCTGGTGTCCCGTCTACCTGATGCATCCCTGTGGTTGTCTCCAGCTCACAGATCTGCCCTGGCCACAAGGGCCCAAGCTGTCTCATCACCCCTGACTTTCCTGAGGCACCCTCTCTCAAAGTACGCCTCTGCTACAAGGTTCGGACAGAGGCATCTGGACCAGCTGAGAAGTGAGCACTCCCACCACAAGGCAGGGAATGTGCAACACTTCACAGGACTTTCTCCACTGGGCAAGTCTCCCAGGACTCTCCAGCCCACTATCCCAAGCCTCCAGGCCCTGCCTGGTCCACAGAGCTCTTCCTCCCACTTCCTGCTACTCTCCAAGGGCAGCTCTGCAACCTCCCAGGACCCAACAGGAATGAATGCAATTCAAAGGAAGCCCAGCACTTGCCAGATGGGCTAGCGCAGTCACCTCATAGAGCTTGGTGATGGCAGGTGTGTGCTCCCGTTCGTCCATCTGCTGCTCCCTGCGCAGCAGCGTGTCCTTGCAGTGCCTGCAGCAGCGGATGCGCTCATCCTCCTTCTCATCCAGCACAGAGCTCATGCTGCTCACACTGCCGATGCTGCCACGGCGCGAGCCATGCACACTGCCGGGAGACTGGCTGGGGCTGGTGTGGGTGCTCAGGGCATCCCTACTGGCGCTGGTGAGCTTGTCTGCAAATACAGAGGACACCCAGCTCTCCATGGCCCTTGCTGCATGCTGAGTCCTGGGGTGTGACTGGAGGGGCTACTGAGACCAGGCTCAACCCTCCTAGGCTCCCTCAAGTGATGAGATCCCAAGGGCACCCTCAGGCTGGCCCTCTGGTCCTCCACAGCCTTTCCTGGCTCCTGCCTTCCACAGCACAGTTCACAGCCCACATCCTCTGGGCAAACTATCCTCCCTCAGGCCCCTTCTCTCCCAGTGTGACAGGAACAATCCCAGACACCTGCAGTTCTTTGGGGTGGAAACTTTCACCTGCACCCTGAACACAGCAGGGTCACTGCAGGCAGCTGCTGGGAAAATGTCAGCCAATGGCCCATGTCCTGAAAATGTGGCTTACAGAGTCCCATGTGAGCCAGGAGGGAAAGAGGTAGAGCAGTGAGGTCAGCACCACTGAGAGTGGCCTGCCTCATCCCCCATGCTGCCCAGACACCCAGGGCCACCCACGTCTCCCGGAAGCCGGGAGATGCAAACAGCCTCTGACCAGCATGAATGCAGGTCATCATGCCAGTTTTCAGGCTGCCTGCAGCTGTGTTCCCTGGGGCCCACACCCCTGCCCTGGGACATGCATAGCCCAGGGCTCCTAAAGGTCACCTCCAGTGCCCTCAGCGTCTCCTGCATGAGGCCACTGAGGGCTGCTGGTGACTTTCACCTCAGAGGAAGGGACTTTAAGGTCCTCTTCCTAAAGCTCCCCTGCTACTTCCAGTCAGAGCTGACAGCTGCTTAGCCTCTCCTGGGTCCAGACACACATCCTGACCAAATAGCTATTTATTTGGGAGTCCACAGTCTCCACAGGCACTGCTTTCCTCAGAGCAGTTGGCAATGCCTTATAGACAAAAGTGGGAGAACAAAAGCCTGAGATCCAAGTTCAGCTGTGGCCTGTTTTGCACAGGCCTTAAGCTGTGTGTGGTTTTGTCATTTTTAAGAGGTTGTTAAAAAATAAGCAGCAATAGCAGCAATGGCACAGCGACTCTCCAGCAGGCTTGCAGTATTTACTGACTGGTCCTTACCAAAAGAGTCTGCAGCCTGTCCCTGCCTCAACCATGCCTGGGCCAGGTGGGCTTTATGGGGCTGACAGTGGGCTTCATGGGGACCCTATGGCATCACCTCCAGGGCCCTATGGTGCTGACAGTAACTGGCAAATGAGCTTATCCCAACAGTGGATGAGGTCCTCATCACCTACTTGCCAAGAGCAGGCTGATGAGCTCCATGCACTTCTTGCACATGATCGAGCCACAGAGGCGGCAGTGGTGGCGGCGGTTACGGATGCTGAACTTGCTCCCGCAGTCAGGACAGAAAGGGACATCCTGGTCATTGACCCAAGGCACCACAGACTTTTCGATTGCTTTGGGAAGGACAAAATAAAATCACACACACACACACACACACACACACACACACTCCATTTAAGAAAGATCTGGTCAGGGAAACAGAGAAGAAACAGAAAGAACATGAACAGAGTTCTCTGGTTACCTCGGATCTTCGCAGACTCGGTATTAGTTCTGTCAAATGCAGTGAGCTGGTGGGAGAAGAGGGTCAGGTGAGTTAGCCAGGGACATCCCTCCCACACTTCACTGTTCATGCTGTAAGGGACACTCTGCACTTCTCAAGCCCTGTCTCCAGCTCAGCCCCTCAGCTTCCCATCTCCAGACTCCTCCCTTCTCTGAACCCTGCCTCTTTCTCTTCATTATTCATGTCAGCAACAATTAGGTAGGCAAGGATGGGGTGGTATGAAAGCAGTGGGGAACTCTTCTTTCAGTCCTCCTACACAACAAAACCAGCCAATGAGCAGGGCATGGTGGTACACTTATAATCGCAGCACTTTGGGAGGCTGAGGCAGGAGGACTGCAAGTCTGAGCCCAGCCTGGGTAGCTCAGCAACTTAATGAAACAGTGTCTCAAAAGATAAAGGAAGGTCTAGGGAGGAGCTCAGTGCAGAGGGCCTGGGTTCATTCCCCAAGGCTGTACATGTTTCTGCCTATGAAGTTCACAAGAAGAGCTATACTGTTTCTGCCATGCCCACCACACAGTCCAGACTGTACTTAGCAGTGACTTCAGGGCAAGGCACAGCACAAATGTGGCACAGTTCTCACTGCAGGACCAGAGGGCCAGTCGAGGGTCCCCACACTGCACACTGGCCCTGGCTGAGGACACAGCACAGACCTGGCCACCACTCTTCTATTCCCCATCAAATAACACCACATACTAAACCCTGGAGTGACTGTGCCCAGGATACCCCCAAAATTTGGAAAAATTTCCCAGCAGCCAGTGGCTTTCAGCATGGAAGGAAGGGGAGCCTGGATACGGTTGTGTCACCCTGGCCACTTGTCCAGGAGAGCCAGCCCAGGCGGCAACTGTCCTCCACATCCTTGGCAGCCCTGTCAGTGTCAGACACACAAAACACACAGGCTACAAAATGTGGGACTTTCCCCCAGAAAACACATACTTGCAGAAAAAAAGTATTTTGAACAATAAAATTTACCTTCTCTAACCTGATTATTAATTTATTGACTTCAACGACATAGTGGTCGATTCTGGCAGCACGGTGTTTTTTGAAGTCAGAAAGATGGCTTCTCGTGGTCCCTAAGAGGAGAGAAAGCAGGAGCTTAGTGATTTGTCATCTTCCTTACAGAGCCTCTCAAGCTTAGAGCTTATCCTCAATGACTTCAAAAGCAAAACTTCTAGGACTTTTGTGTCCTGCTGAAAACTAAAGTCTGCTAACTTGCTAACCACAGCTGCTGGAGGCTTCCAATACAGCAGACGGGGCCTGGGCTCTAGGGTTAGCCTGCACCCAAGCTGCAGCTCCATACCCAGTTTGACCTCAGACAAGTCACTCGGCCTCCGTGTGAGCCAGGAGACTCATCCTGAGATGCAAAACCATGCTTTCTACTTCACAGGGTTGCTATGTAAGTTAAATAAAGTCCTTAAATAACAGACAGGTGCATGAATGTCTATTAAATAAAAAACCCAGTAACATTAAGGATCAGTTTTTTATTCTCTCATTTTTCCATATTTTCTAAAGTTGGTATGACACAACTTTTAATTATAATAAAAACAACCCTTCTTGGAAGGCCACAAAAGGGCTCACAGCTGCCTGTGGGGCAGCCAGCTGAGCTGACACTTCCTCAGTCCAGCAGCCAAGACCAAGACAAAGGTCCCCCAAAAATGCAATCGTGTCACTTGTCGCGACAGTAGACCCGAAATACCCCCTGCTCAACCCCATCTCCTCCAGGAAACCAGCGCTGCCTTCTGACCTGCCAGCACCATCCAGTCATGCATTCCTTGGATCACAGCTGGTATTCATCACATACTTGCTTTTAAAAATGTTAACTGGAAAAAATATTGACAACTATATGTTGCATATATTTATCACTGCACATCTTTTGAAATATGCATGCAGCATGGAATGGCTAATCATTATGTCTTACCTCATTCACTATGGTGAGAACAGCTTAGAATCTACTCTCTTAACAAGTTTGAGGAATACACTGTTTTTCTAACTAGAGTCACCATGTTGTGCCATACATCTCTTAAACTTACTCTCCTGTCTGAGACTTTATATCCTTTGACCAACATCTCCAAATACTATATTCTTAACCATCCTGGTCTTTTCTTCTCTAACCATACTCTAAGAGTCAATTAAATTTTAGTTTAGAATTATTAGGTGTGATTATAAACATTAACTTCAATTTTTTATTTCCTTCAGGTATTCAAATAGACATGTTAATCAGAAAACCACACTGGTAATCTGAGCTTGCCAATCATGAAATAATCTATCACAAAGCCAGTAAGAGTCCACATGTCTGAAATTTCTCCTTCATGTTCCTAAGGGGCATATATGTGTAACTCCTAACTAGTTACATACAGCTATGTATTTAAAGCTACTTCTTCCTGCAATGATGAAATGTTTCCCCTCTCTAACACAGGGACACAGAACACGTGGAATGTAGGATGCAGCTAAGGGATGGATTTTATTTTAGCATGACTTAGTTACATGTGGACAACAGAAGGCTAGTGGCCATTACTACACACAAAAAAAAGGTGAAGTGAAAACACTGTTTGGTGTGGTAGTGCACACCTCTGACCCGAGCACTCAAGGAGCCTAAGGATAGAGGATTGCCATAAGTTTTAGGCCAGTTTGGGCCACAAAGCCAGTTCAAGGCCAGCCTGGACTTCAAGGCAAGGCCATTTCAAAAAACATATGAACAGGGCCTGGGATTTAGCTCAGTGGCACTGCGCCTGCCTTGTAAATGCAAGGTCCTGAGTTCAATCCCTGGTACCACACACACACAAAAAAAGAACAAACATATGTGTATATAGATATGTATATAAGTGTGTACATATGTATATTTATATGTATATATGGGAAAAGGGGGAAGGGAGAGAGCAGGAGAAAGTGGGAGGAGAACTGTGAAAGAACCTTTATTTATTCACCTCAAAGACAGAAAACATCCCACCGATCTAGAAATGTAGCTCAGGGCAGAGTGCATGCTTATTAACCACAAGCCCACCCATTAATGACTGCTGTCATCCAGTAGTTAAAGGACAGATAAGACTGGAGAGTTCAACACAGTTAGTAGCATGGTATTTCTGCCAATAGCTTCACTGAGACATAATTCACTTACACACCATCTCAAGGTTTTGGTAGACCACAGGTTGAGCAACATCACAAGCAATTTTAGAATGTATCCACACCTGACAGGATGATCCCTTTGAAAGCCAGCAGATGGAGCCACAGGAAGTAAGGAAGTAGCTCAGGAAGTAGGCTGCCTCCCCAGGCCTCTCAATGAAGTTATGAGCAACAGGAGGGGACAGACCTGTGCTGGAGGCCACACCCAGGTGCAGGAAGCCTGAATTACACCCACTTCTGCAGCTTAAACTGCATAGCCTAGGCAGGTCCCTTGCCAAAAGAGGATGCAATGGGCTTGATACAGAGTGCATTGATGCAGACCCAATACAAGGGACACTCCTCTTACGGGACATGAGAGCCAGGAGAAACTCCGCTTTTGGGTTCACCAATGCCTTCTTAGACAACTCTGAAAACACAGCCCAGAACACAGGAGGTGCTCGGTTCCTGTCTGTGGAGTGAATGCACATGACAGTGAGAAAGTTTCTTACCAAGCTCTTGGGGCTCCCACATGTAAGGGTCAACCCCTCCATTGCTGAAAGATTCATATCCTGGAGCCCCTGACTCTGCTCGCTCATCCCCTTCCCGTCTCAGCAACTTGTTCTTTGCTTTCTTAGCCTTCTGGACAAGACCTTGAAAAACAACAAACACCATTAAGTAAACCATCAAGATCACCCAGTAAAAGGTCAAGGGAAACATCAAATAACAAAACCAATGAAATAATTTTCCTTGTTAAAATGTCAAAAAGCTGTGTGTCATCAGCCTATAACCCCAGCACTCCAGGAGGCTGAGGCTGGAGGATTGTTAAGTTAAAGCCCAATGTGGGCAATTTAGTGACTTAGTAAGACCCTGTCACAAAAAAAAAAAAAAAAAAAAAAAAAAAAAAAAATTAAAAAA